TCTCTCTCTCTCTTTTATTCTCTTCTTTCTCTTTCTCCTTGTTCCGTCTCTCTCCTTCCGTCGTTCGTCTCTCCCGTTCACTGTCTTCTTCCCACCTAACCCCCCCGCTATCAACGATTCAGCACGTGCACGCTGTATCACCGGTGCTTTTGAAAAACGACCGGTAACGTGTTCCAGGGATTATCACGAACCGACGGACGCTAAAGGCTTCGCGCACTTTCAGTTTTCACGCATTGATTTCCTTTCTTTCCCGGCTCTTTTTTTCTTTCCCCTTGGCCGTTTTTCGCCAGCGCTTTTTAGCCAGCTTGAAACGTCGAGGCCTCGTTATAATATCGTCGTGATTTCCAGCCAGCCGAAAAGCAGATGCGCTTACTCCAGGATGTCGTTCAGCTGCACCGCTGAAATTTCAAAAAGCCACCGTCCCCGTTCCCGTGCTTGCTTCGTTTCGTTCTCTGCCTCGTTTGCGTTCTTCTTCTTTTCTTCTTTTCCCTCTTTCTTTGCTCCGCTTGAAGAAAGAAGCAACGCTTCTGGCTTGAGCTGTATCGCGTTATAGAATGATCGGTCGTATAAGAACGTAGGAACGTAGGAAACTACTAAAAGTACGACCGATGACGTGTTCCGCTTCCGCTTGATCGCATGCACCGATCGCGTGGCGATTCTTCGTTGTAGCGAGCTTGAGGAAATTCAATTCGGCGCGTTTGTCGTCCAAAAAATTAACGGGGAGAGTCCGATCAGTTGGCCTTGAATCGAGTAAAAGTCACTGAAAAAAGGAAAGGAATTGGATATAATTTGTCGGTGTGACTTGGGAGGGACTCGCATGCACTGCAGGAAGTAGACATTATTTTTAGAATTTCTTTCACGTTAGCCAGTGGCTGTTGCGATCACGTATAATTAACCGCGCGATTTTAATCCCCTTTGGTGAATCGGCCAGCTTCAAGGTCGCGTGTTTTTCTGTGAAATCAGGTGAGAATCAGTGCGATCAAGGAAGACAGGATCAGAATGTGGCGTGATCCTCCTGGAGGAGGGTATAACATACCCACCTATTTAACGATGATGCTTCTCTTGGGTCTCCTGGCATTGACAAACGGTGAGTCAACCAACTATAAAAGAATATGTCGCTAGCAGTCGTGAATTGCGATCGTTCGTACCAAATGAATTTTTAAATTTTCTGTCGCAATCAAGAATACGAACGAAAATCATTAACATTAACGTTATTGTGATGTCATGCCAATTTTCTGTCGAAAAATAGATTGAATTAGATTTATACTGATTGTTTTTTTTTTTTTTTTTTTTTTTTTTTCGTACACGAGGAGAATCACATTTTGCAAATTCATGGAACTTGAAAATCACGAGAGTGATTCAATATGATATTTTTTTGTCATGTACCATAGCACAAGTTAGTTTACTTTTGCTTTTTTTGTTTATCATGAGACAATGACTGGACTGTTTTATATTCGCGCCAGAAAAGAATTTATAGTCTGAAGAGATACGAGGCGCTGAAATCTATAGAAAACTTTCGATACGAGCACAGTGTAATGTGCATAAGTGGGCTGATAAGTTTAAAACTGGTCGCAAGCGATGCATGCATGGGCTCGCTTCTTATTATGAACGTGTGTTTTTCTGAGCTTGTTGTACAAAGATAGATCAAGTGCGTTGACACGCACGAGAACGATATTGAAAAACAATTTTATTGCAGGATCTCTGTTCCAATCAATTCTGTTTTTAATTACATCGCGGCTAATTGTTGAACCGCTCTCGTATTATATACCACAATCATGCTATATATCGTTAAAAGAGATAATGACTCGAAAAAAAAAAACGCGTGGCCGCGCTATAATCTTGTCTATGCAATCGTTTGTACATACATCGAGCACATGCTGCGCACGATGCAAGCCCCCGAGTTTAGCAGCTGGTGCACCAACTTATCTTTCGTTTAGCAATCTTCCGGATGACACGTCCTCTGGACGTGCTCGATCAATAAGAGGATCAAGTACAGCTAGGCCGGTGAATTTTTGCAGTTGCTATCAATGTCACGTTGCGTCCGTAAGATAGATTCAATGCGAACTTGCGATAGAAGTCCTTTTGATATTGAAAGGACACGTTGCCAACGAGGAAACAGCCTGCGTATCTCTCTCGTCTTCGGTTATTAAATATTCAGCCACGATCACAGAAAACGAGGATTGTGTTCAAAACGTGTTCGCGTTTTGGCTCGTTTCGGAGTGAGAGATGGGAAATCAGTTAGATGGACGATAGAACCACGCGTTCCTTTATTTCGAAAGGTTCATGAGAGGCGGAATATGTAGGTGGAAACGGAGCACGGACTGCAGCTGCCGAGGAGAAGGCTAAGAAGGAGAGGAGAAGGAGGAAACCAAGGGAAAGGAACAGCTGCTGTTCCCAGAACACAGGCAGCCGTGCTTCAAAGAATCGTAGGCTTACTTGTGCGAGGCCAGGTGAATCTTTTTGATTTCGCGTGTGTCATGGTCTTCAACATGAGGTGCCTTGGCGATGATTCGGCAGATGATGGAAGATGAATATGAGGGAATATATCTACAGAGACCGCGTCTGTATTGAAAGAAACATTGTTGTGCAAGAGAGCAGCCAAACAGATTTAATTCTTTCAGTTTCAATAGATCGTACGCATTATCGTGCAGCTGGTGTTCGGACAATTTTAAATTATTGCTGATGTATAAAAAAGTCAGATGAATTTCTTTTTTTTTCTTTCATTTAACTGTAACATATACAGTTCATAGAATAACTAATATTTGTCAATAGACTGAAGATAATTCTTTGGCCATGTCTAATCAATGCCGAGATATTAGAACTATTTTCAATCACTATAAATAGCTGTCTATTAGAAATAACTTTGAACGATAAAGATATGTTTCTTGATTTGGATTGAATTTGGCAAAGTATTCGATCTAAGTTGTAGTAAGATGTAAAATATCTTGCACTTTACAGTAGGAAAGTGTTAAACAAAATTATCAACCTTTTGATGGAATTGTACCAAGTGCCCAATTATTCACGCACGATAGTGTACATTCCAAAGAAAATTAATCTTACTGCGAAATAAATATTATAGTCTGTTCGATTAAAGTTTTAATGGCTTGTTAACTCTCCGAGGGCAAGCATATCTATTATATGTCCGTAAAATATAGGTCATTCATGTACCCTTCATTTTATGAAAAACTTTTTGGAAGCTAAGCTACTATATTGCATAATTAATTTTTTATAATGTTTTTGGCAAGCAAGAATAAAAATTTTTAAGGATTGATATACTCGTCGAAACGTTTCTAGATTACATAATATCACAGCTTGTTACAATCTTCTAATTCTAATGAATTATACACATCCCAAATTAAGTTTTAAAGTACAATAATAAAAATATCCAAAATATACTTGTAACTATGACAACCGATATAAGGAAACTGAAATGGCAGAAACAAAAGAATACAAAGCAATTGTCTGGTAAAAGGATACAGAGAAATTCTACCAAAAATGTGCGAACGTACCATTCAACTTATTGTGATGGTGACCGATTTGATTCAGCGTTACATAAAGTAAAATAACACGCAGAGGAGATCCTTGGTCAACTCCGTTGAATGAACAGTTTGTTCATTAACAAAACACACGCTCGCTCGCGAGCAAACGATAAGAAGGTGAAAGGAAGATTGATCGATGACCTGGGAAACCCGATGTGAAAAGCATTTTTCGCAAAGTTCCAGCGTTACGCGTTCGCGATCAAAGACGAGATTCTTATCGATCGATAACCGTTCTGTAATTTACGTATAGGCAAAAGAGAATACGCGTTGCATCTAATATATTTCCAACAGCACACGCGTTTTTAGTAGTGGCTGTAACGTTCCATTCACACGATAAGAATGATACACGCATGATTCACGAGTCTGTTTCCACGCGTGTATATACACTCTTGTCCATAAGTTACCGGACACATGTTCATTCTAAACAGGACGAATCATTTCGATTATTAACTCTTTTGCTACCTTGAATTATATCGGTTATGCAATACCCGAAAAGGAAGAGATATCTCGTACAAAATGAAACGAAGGATTGTTGTAATAGCCAAATAATCATTTAATAATCGTTGTAATAGCCAATTTAAATTTAGAGAAATATCATTCAGCTTGGTCAAATTCTAATTGTTTTAATCTTTTGATTTTTATTTCGAGATGTTCTTGCTTGGGCATGTTTGAATTATACATATTTAAAAGTTTCAATTGAAAATTCAATATAAAGGCACCGAACTAATTTCTACAGCTAACATTTACGTAAAACGTAGGACAATGATCCAGAATATAATTCGAAAACAAATTATTTAAAATCTGAATGATTTAGAAAACAGTAATAAAGTCAGGATGGTGACATAGCCATCGCAGTCACGAATTGTCAGGTGATTGCCAAAGTAAATCGCATCTTAATTTCATCAAATGTCCGGTGATTTATGGACGGGAGTGTACGTTGGAAACTATGTGAGATCGTGACGACCATAATAATTAGGGTGAAAGACTTTTGAAGTCGACTGAAGGCACTAGAAAATCTTTTGCCTACCGCGTCTCTTCTTGGTCTTCTTTTCTTCGATTTTATGATTCGTCGCGATGTAATCGCGAGGTCGAGTGGCGATAACTTATCTGCCCGTAAGTCGAACAATTCGCGGACCGTTTAAAGCGGAAAGGCTCATGTCGACGAAAATGTACAGTAAGACCCACTATAACGCGTAAAATAATGTTTTTTTTTCTTTCTCTTCAAGTAAAACAGAAAATAATATGCATAAATGATATAAATAATATAAATCTTCTGTCCAACTGATCTTTTGTCGAGATCTTTGAAGTCATGGCTGATAAATATTATTTATTAAAAATAGCGAGAAAGTTTGTCTTACTCAAGGCCAATTCTTTATAATTGAAATAAATTCTTTTTTGAAACAACACAAATAATTCTGTATAGAAATAATGTGCACTTTAAACGAGCTTTCTTCCTTGCACAAGAATTGATGCAAAATTCTGTTCTAAGTCAATGGAAAAAATCATA